ACGTCCTACTTCCTGTTCACATAGGTTTGCCACCTCGATTCATATCTGAGTCCAGTTCATCCACTGTCCTACCCTCCCCTCTGTTGTTGAAAAATAGTCTTCTTAACATCCAAATTTGTCTAGCCTAGTTCGACACAACGCTCTTTTCCCTCTCAAAATCTGTTGAATTTGAACACAAAAATAGAACCTACGCGCACGCAATCCCTACCTCATTTATTAATTATGGGTGTAGTGTTCCCAAAGCGATCTCTTCAATACTTCGTACCGAAAAGTTTGTGTGCCCTAGCCAATCCATGAACTACCGATATTCAACGATTCCGTTCATTAATCAATTGGGGCAAGGGTAGATTCATTAATCTATTCGTCTAAATCTCAAAGCTTTGCGTCGATAAGTTAGTGTGCCCCAGCCAATCCATGAACCATTGATATTCGGCGGTTCTGTTCATTAATCAGCTGGAGCAAGGGCAGATTCGTTAATCTGTTTGGCTAACTCTCAAAGCTTTGCGCCAATAAGTTAGTGTGTCCGAACCAATCCATGAACTACTAATATTCGGCGGTTCCGTTCATTAATCAGCTAGGGTAAGGGCAGATTCATTAATCTATTTGCCTAAATCTCAAAGCTTTGCGCCGACAAGTTAATGTGCTCCTACCAACCTATGAACTACCGATATTTAGCGGTTTCGTTCATTAATCAGCTGGGGTAAGGGTAGATTCATTAATCTATTCGGCCCAACCAATTATTTCATTGCCGAATTAATTTACTCATTAATATACTTAGAAATTTACATCATCCTACTTGGCCATTAACTAGCACATGTTACAGACAGACGGAAAGACAATTTTCATTAATAAATTGAGTACAAAAAGTCATCATTTTACATATGAAAATTATCCTACATTTAACTTCTAACCAAAACAAATAAACAAAAATCTACAAAAACTGCACACACAAGATACCAAACAAAAAGCAAAATTACATTAACCCTAGTCAATCTTCGGGGTCAAACTCCAGCGGCTCAACCTCCAGCTGCTCGTATGGAATCGGCTGCTCCAATGTCGCATTAGCGGCAGCAAGGGCTTTAAGCCAGCCGTGTTTGAAGCCCCGATTCTCGAACTTGGGTACTTCCTCCACGTATTTTTCTAAGGCGGCATTCTCGCCGACTTGGAACGCTTTAGAGATCTCGGAGTCAGCGATTTCCTTTGCCTTCTTCGATGCTTCCAAATTGGCCTCCAGTCTGGCAATCACCTCCTTGGCTAACTTGAGCGCTTCATCGCTCGCATTCGCCCTTTCTTCGGCGGCCAACCTGAGTTGATCGGAACTCTTGGCTTTTTCTGCCTCGGCATTGGCCCTTGCTCACTCTTCTGCCACTTTGATTGCCTTGGACTCAACTCTGAGAGAGGCCTCCGTAGCTTTACTCTTTTCATTTTTAACTTTGGCTGTGAGAAAGCCGATTTGTTCGATAGCGTCATGTTGACGGTAGCTAATCTCAGCTATTCTGCCCGCCGCCTATAAAACAAGGAATTAATAAAATAGCTGGCATAAAAAAGGACACAAAACTGCAAACAACTCAAGTCATATACCAATATCGCTGATTGAGCGACTAATGCTATGGACATCATATCCGGCTCTGCGCAAAAGATTGCTCTGTCAATCGGCAGAGAAATTGAAAAAGCCACGCTTAAGGCCACAACAGCGTCTTTCACAGCCAATGCATCAGAAGCAACCGACACGTTCTTTATCCTTGGTTGTATGATAAACGGCACAACCAAGTCCGACTCCTTTATGTGCGGCCGTTTATCAGTGAGGTTCTCTGAAGAGTTGGCTTCGTGCTCGACGGAACGTTTTTTCCCCATGTGCTCGATCTCCAAATTGTCCGGTTGATCGAGAACAATTTACTCCGTTTTAGTTGTAACAATCTGCGTCATTTCTTCAACAAGAACAGGCGGAGAAGACTCAGTAACATGTGGTAGTGGTTCAGATCGGTTGGCTTCGGCCTTCCTCCGGGTAGCCATCATCTCGGCGTTTTTTCTCCTAGCCATTTACGCGAGCGACTCCCCAGCCATGTTCTCAGGATATGTGCCAGAAAGGTCTCCTAAATCGGTGAAAATATCGTCTTCTAACGAGACGTCTACTCGGCCTGAAGTGGATGGAGGGTTGAAGCCGGCTTCCTTAAAGGCCAAATTTAGAGCCACGTCAACCTCATCCCCGAGACTATCGAATCAGTCCAAGTTGGACTGATTCGGCTGTTCAAAGACTTCTTCGGCTATTTGTTTGTCGACTGGCTTTGAATCTGAAGCTTCAAGACCAATCACCCTAAGATTTTTAAAGTTTAGGAATATAAGCACTGTAAGCTGCTGTTCGCCTTTTGGAATCAGAATGTGGTCAGCGGCCGAAAAGGTAGCGTAAGTTGGCTCATATCTCGGAAGGACGTGGGCAGCCCTCCCTTGCTTTTGAAGGTTTGGACGGCCGAAGAACTGGAGCGTGGTTTTGATTTGCCCAAGTACAGCATCGTCGGCCGAAACAATAACTTTTTTCAAATCGTTACCTGCACAAATGAAACAGTAAGCTCATGGAATCTAAGTCACGTAAATGTACAACAAATACACATAGGGGACTATACGGCCACCTAGTTTGCCTTTTTGTCTAGGAATAGGATCTAGGCGATCTTCGCCTTCGGCGAATTCCTAGTTGCCTTGGACAACGACCACGACATCGTCAACACGCTTACTAGAGCTGGCAAGCATAGTCACCAGATGGTGATCTGTGTCCTTGGCCTTGAGAAAATAACGCCTCTGCCGACCAGAGGATTTCGCCAAGGCATAACAATGCCGAATAGTAGGGATTTCTAGATTAATCCTAAGTCGGCCATTCAATTCTGCTATCCCCGTTATGATATTGTAAAAATTTACGTTGGGCTGCTATGGGAGAAGACCCCAATAACGAATGACGACCCTTAAAAACAGGTGAAGAGGGAAATGAACTCCGCTCTCAGCGATTGGTAAGAGGGGAAAGATGATCATACTTGCATCAGCCCTCTCAATGTCAACCATGCTGTCTGCCACAAGTGACAGATGGACGTCATCTGAAATGGAAAAATGACATCGAAAAGCGGCAACACGATCCGCAGAAAGAAGGGCTTTCAAATGTTTCGTCATTCAAGTCAAAATAGAAGGTAATATAAACAAACAAACAAACAAACAAAAAAGAGAGAGAGAGAAAAAAACAGGGAAATAGGAGTTGGAATGAAAAGGGGAAGAACTTACAAGGTGCAGAGAAATCAATGGGGGACGGATGAAAGTTGCAAAGGCGAAACGAAAGAGATGCTGAGGGGCAACCAAAGAGCCTTGTATATTCAAAAAAAATATCCAAAGAGACTACACGGTTTCAAATCGTATTAAATGAATGACGTGTACGAAGTAGCGGGAAATCGTAATAATTTGCAAAACACTAATGTTCTGACACTTCAGTATTGAAAGGAGCACAAGTGCCGTATTTTTTACTTCCCATACCTAGAACCAAACATGCTGTCTAGGTGATGTTAGTCGGATATTTATGGGGCAATTGTGGGGGCCGAATATCGGTTATACTAAGGAAAACCAATTTGAACGGGCCAAAGGCAATTCGGCTCTATTATGATCCGAGTATATACCGGCACACGCGAATAAGTAATCATTCGAATGATTAAGAGTGGGCCCGACCCTAGGGCCTAGAGGCGAATATAAATAAAACAACATCAACCAAAGAAAAATATGTGAGAATAGATTAAGTAAAAACTTGAGATAGAAGTAAACTGGAGAGCATATACTAACTTGTCTATCGAAATGCTAATTCCGACACCCCCGATCGGAGTGTTCATCCTTTTTCATGTAGCAATATGAGGATCAGGAACGTCCTATAGGATCCAAGAGTATTTCCAAACCACATCTCCATAGAGGTGAATAAACCCAATAAACTATAGTTATCATCATTTAAATTTGAATTAATACTATACAATAGGGGTGAGCATGGTCCGGATTGGACCGGAGTGGAGTAAAACCAGGACCAATCCGTTATTTACGGATCTTGAAAAATTGGAACCAATCCAATCCGTTTAAATCGTGGAACCAATCCGAACCAATCCATTTAAACACAGATTGGATCGGTTTAAGATCACGGATTTACATAATTAAATAACAAAAATATATATATAACACTTTAATTTCATAAAAATATAAATATAGCACCATATTAGTTTCACAATAGCAATATGTCTTTTTATAATAGCGACAAACTGTTCTAGAATTTAAACAACCATAAGAAAACTAGTTTCACTATAAGTATTTAGACCATTACAAATTAACACTAAAAACTAGCAAACAAAAGTAATAAAAGAAGATATTATGCAAGTTTAGGTTTGGATTTAACTTTTATATGAAATAAGATAAGATACTATGCATGGGGGTGTATAATAAAAATATAGACTATTTGTATACGGTTCGGATCGGTTTAAATCCGGAACCATGGGGTTCAATCTGGAACCAATCCGTGAATTACGGATTTTTAATTTTTCAATCCGGAACCGAACCACGGATTCAAAAAACCAATCCAAACCTACTGAATTGGATTAGATTAGACTAGACTAGATCGAATTACGAATTTTACGGATTTCTTACTCAGTCCTACCATACAATGAAAGAAAAGATGCTCTTTGCCGAATCCTTTATTTAATGATTAATGAGATATCTATATCTATACAATATATATAAAGCACCGATGCAACATGAACAGTAATTTCAGCCAAATATGAACAATGTTTTGTAATAGTTGAAAAGTCAATTTTAACCTTGTACTTTATAACTTTTCTTTTTTGGATGCAAGGGTATTGATGGAAAAATACCTCAAATTACTTACAGCTGTTTATAACTCTCTTCTCTGCACTCTGTACAGAGAACCCCCATTCCCTCACCGATCTCACCGATCTCACCTCCTACCTGCTCTCACCGATCTCCTCCCTCCTCTCTCCTCTCACCGATCTCCTCCCTCCTTTCTCCTTTGGCAACCGCCGATGAGGTCTCCTCTGTGGTGCCGATTTGTTTGATTTTGTGGGTATTCATAGTGTTCAGCAGCGAATCAAACGAAAATTGAGCCCAAGGATGGAAGAATACGACACAAGCTTCTATTAAGGTAAAGACATACATGAAGAATGTTAGGTATTTCGATTTTAGGTTCCTTTTGATCCAGTTAGGGTTTGTAAAGTGTTTTAATTTTCTTTGGTTCTGTTAATTAGTTGGGGTTTTGTTCTTTTTATTATTGTTTCCATGATGTTTACTGTGTGTATGTGTGTATATTTTGTGGCTTCTTGTTTTTCATTAGGGTTTCAATTTTATTGTTGTTTTAATTTTCTTTGGTTCCGTGTTCTTTATCTTTCTCATTAGTTAATTTAATTTAATTTTTTCCATTTTTATTCAAACCCTAGAAGGTAGAAATTGAGAGTTTTTGTTATGTATTGAAATTAAATGTGGGTAATAAAGATCAGTTTTGAAAACTGTGGATTTCCTTAGAATTTTTATAATTGTTGAATTGATTGAGATGTCTTCTGGTTGGGTTCTCTGGAGTTGTGCGCAACTTTTGGGGAGTTTCAAGCTCTGATGGAGTGTTCTCAAAAGAGGAGCATCCTCCCTTCTCCAAGTTTGTGGGATGCCAATGAGCATTTGAAAACTGTTTCGACTATGACATTATTTTCAGTGGATCATAATATCTATCTATATTATTATTTATGTGAAATCTTGAGATGGTATTAACAAAAATATGTCTCAAAAATATCTGATTTATAGTTTCAATATTCACGTTGAATTTTTCTTATAAGAAAATTAGCCTTGGTCCCTACAGCTTGTACAATTTACCATTGCTTGGTATAATGCTTGTACAATTTATCATGTAATGTTTTTTTTATAGAGAAAAAAATTCACTTGGCAAAATGAGAGTTTTTTGATGGAGAAAAAAAAAATCCACTTAAAACGAAAAAGTAGATTTCAGGAGGCCACTATTGAAAATTGATTTATTTATAATAATGACATTACCATATCATTCTTGTCAAGTTTTTTTTTGTATGATGAATTTTATATATGTTTATAATTTTTCTTAATTATATATATTTATAATGTCTTTAAATTATGATATTAATCAAAAAATTGTAACGTAATAATTAAAACTCCTCACCATTGCCATCGTACCTTAATGTCTTTCACTATATATGTGTTTTATCTATTTATATAGTGTTTCGACCCATCAGTGACTGTGTTTGTGTCTAGAGAGAGAGATGAGTATTACTTAAGAATTTACAAATAAAAAATGAAAAATTGTATATATATATATAGTGTAGATAATGTGTTATTATGTAATCATTGTAATAAATTATGTGAATATATATATATATATATATTTATTCATTTGAAATTCACTTGTGTATATTGCAGGAAATAATTTTGTGTGAGCTAATTTCTTTCTTGCTTTTGCATTTTGATTTGATGCAATTCAATTATTTTGGAAAATTTGTGAATTGGCCTAATTACTTAAAAGCATTTTGGTTGGATTTTTTTTTTTGTTTGTTTTATTATCAAAATTTAATTTTTCTTATCTCTGGGTTAGCTTTTTATTTTTGTGTTTGATCATGACTTATGGGTGTTTGTAATCTGGAAGATTAGGTGTTATGTAATATTAGTTAAGAACTTATTTTATTGATTTTAGTTACTCATGAATATCAATTTTTCAATGGGTGTTTGTGTTTCTTTTTTTCCTACTTTTTAAATCTTACTGCCTAAATCAAACTTCATAAAGTTTCATTTATACCTAAACTACAGTATGTTGCTTGATGCTTAGTTAGAGTATAATGTTCCATTCTTCTTCCCTTTTCTTTTGATTAACAACATTAGCCAAGAATGTATTTAAAGTAGCATCGTTTACCCAGGATACTTTAGTTTGATTACTAATCTAACACATGATCAAATTAACTGTGTAAATCATTAGCGCCAACTGCTTTTTGGTTGCAAAGCTTACAACGCCCTTTTGACATTACATTCTTTTCATTTTATTTTTTATTTTTTTATTATGGTCTACCTTTGTATTGCTTTTTTATTCCTTTGATTAAATTGAAAAATATATCATCTGTGTCAAAAGTTCAATAAACCTAAACTATTTGTTAAGATCACTTTTAAATGTTGATTTGAATGGTTAAAGGTCCAATCTTTTTTCTTGATTGCTTTTTTTTTGGGGGGGGGGGTTTGGAATGACTTTTGTTTGAGTTTCATTCATGAAAGAGAATTTTACCACATTAGCATGAATCAAGTTTCAATTTGATTGGGGGTCAATGCCTTAGGCCACTATAGAGGGTTAAATAGAAATATGAGGAAAACTACACATAGCCATTGGAGTCTTCGCCAATGGTTTGCTTCATATTTAGTGGTTTCATATTTCTTATTTAGTGGTTTCGCATTTTTTTGTGATGTGAGTTTGTAATAAGTTTTATAATTTCCTCTGTTACCTTTAGTAAATTTTGTTACTTGCTTCTTTTTTTTTTTTTCATTTGTGTAGCATTTAATAAACAAATTGTAGGTGTATAATAGCAATCATGTAGACATCGATATGCATTTCTTCTTTCTCTGGTTATGTGTGCACAAATATGCGATTTAAGAGAGTTGTTGTAGGCTAAGATTACACTTTCTCGGTCTCTATTGCAGGGAAATAATAGATTTTGTTACAACAATATAGTTTGTCAAATACATAGGATTAACAAGATCAAGGTAAGTACCTTCCAATATTTAGCTATCATAATTTCTGAAACCATAAATTAAAGGTAAATTGTTACTTGATAATTTGCAAACATCATGTTTTAGATAATTGTTATAATGATCTCAAGCATCATATGTCCATTATTTCAACTTAGACAAAACAAAAACTGCATTGAATAAATTATACAAATGTTTGCATTTCGAATGATCAACTCCAAAACATTTGGTGTAATTTCACAATTGCACTTTTGTTTTAATTTTTCTTATCTATCCAATGTACAACCAAACTTCGAGTTAAGAGAACTATGTGGGTTGTCTGGAGTTCCCCCTTTCTTCCCTACATCTACGCCGTTGCTTCCTCTCATCTTTTCCCTCTTTTTTCTTTTCTTTTCCCCTTTTTTAGGTTGCCCATTAATCAAATGTTAAAACCCCCTTTTTTCTTTTCTTTTCCCCTTTCTAATGCCATAAAAGTTTTTTATTGTACTTCAAAATTGAGCAAAATCCACATAAAAACAAAAGCGTATTAATCATAAAGACAAAAGTGTAATTGAACCCATTAATCTCCAATCATAGAATGTTATAGAAGGCTTTATTATACTTGACAATTCTTAAAAATGACAAGGGTATTGCAAAATTCATTACGAAACCAAATAGGAATCCACAATCACAATACCCAAATGAACTGAACACAACATGTCAAATTTTTAATTTAACCGCAAAAACAGCTTAGCAAAAACCTTTTTATTGTACTTCAAAATTGAGCAAAACCCACACAGCAATGGAAAATTCATTAGAAAGCCAATGGTGCAATTCAAGTGAGGATTTAATGTAGATCGAACTTTTGATTCACTTGTGAGATCCAGGTAGTTGGGGGGAAGAGGTGTGGGGGTTAAAAGTGGAGAAAAGCTGCAGAAATTCCTAAATCACAAAATTTAGCTATTGATTCTTTCTCCACACAAAATTCAAAAGTTTTACTACATAAGAAATCCATAAAAATTTACAAATAAAATCTACAAGTTTTAGAGAATAAACATCACTATTTTGTGCCGCTAAACTCCACCCTCTAGCAATGGAGCTCAACTTAGCTTCATTAAAAGATCAAACCAAAGCATCTTATAGCACATATAATGAACAACTACGAGATCTGTATAAGCAAAATTTAAGAAAAGCATCATGAAATTGAAGATAAATAGAACATAAGGTAAATTACACTAACCTCCTTAACAGTTTGGGAAAAAAAATATAATAAACCTTACAGTTCTGATATACATCCTTTTTAGTAAGGTCAAAGCAATTAAACTTAGTGCACATGGTAAGAAAACGCAAAGATAAATAACATACAATACCCACCAAAACAGGAGGTTCATATTGAAGCAACCAAAACTAATTGTTTCAAACATCTTTATCAAACCTAGCAAAATTTTGATTAGTCAACTCTGTGTACTCGGAAGGATGAAAAGTACTTAAAAGGTAAAAATTTTTATTCAATAAAATGTATGTTACTTTTAATAGAGTACCTCAGAGAAACCAAAACTCATTTCCCATGAGCATGACATTCTCTTGATCTAAGTTTTCTGGTGCACAATTGTTCAATCCAGACAAATTGAGAATCAGAGCAAAGACATAATAAATCAAATAAATATTCACTACAAATATCAGAGAAGCACACAGAAGCAGTTGCACACTTTTTCCAATTCAAACTGAGCTTGTTCATTACAAATACAATAAAACAAAGACTCCTTCAGTCTACATTATCAAACAAAGCTGCTGGTTTAGACAAATTAAGTATAATGAAGAAAAGAGGCATAGCATAAACAAACATTAGACTCTCTCTCTGTCTTACGGCTTCACAAAGTCAATCAATTGACTTTGAAAAAAGGGGGAAAAATAAATGAAAAAAAGAGGATACACCTTAAAAACCGCATCCATGCCTTTGTCATGTAATATAATATTAGAATAAGTATTTTTTTTTGTTTTTGTTTTTATAGTGGACCATATATATATCATCAGTTTATGTAACATAAAAATGTGGGTGTATAAGAAGTGTGTGCTTGTAGCTTGCTTCTGCACAATATGTAGTGTCCTCACTTCAACAGTTAGAAAAGTCCAAAGGAAATCCTCCTGAGTCACACAATAACAACCAAGTTAGTGATATTTCAAAAAAATAAAGATTGAAGTAAGTCTAAAATATGATGTGTATAATTAATTATCCAGTCAATTTATAAATGAAATACCCACCAAAACTTACGTGATCCTAAATTGTCAAAAATCACAAATTCACTTGTGTCTCCGGATTAGTTGATCAATAATCACAAATTCATTTGTTTTTTTAGATTAATTGATCAGTAGCACTACAGACAATGTCAACAGTGCCAACATTATTTTGGATTAATTGCATTGTTAACTTTGTTTTGTAGTTAATTGTAGTCCAATAATTAAGTTGTAAACTGGATTACTTTATTGCTTGGTTGGTTCTAGCCATATAGGCCTTGTTTAGTTGTCCATATTGGATTTGGATATAATGAAATACAATATGTTTAGGATATGAGATGAATTATGTATATTGTAAAATTATTTTTATTATATCCAAATTCTTTAGATCGGTGGTTTGGTCTAAAATTATGAGATGTTGGGCGGTTTAATGGGTTATAGTTGGGACTGTTAATGGGCGGTTACATTGGTTTACTGGTTTTGATAAAAACTTGAATGAATGTGCTTAGAACATAGGAATGAATGTGTATTTCAAAGTGTATAACCAAACATAGGAATGAATTGTTTATCTTTTCCTTTTTTCTTTCTTCTTTTTTCTTTTTTCTTTTTTCTTTCGAATTGTTTATCAAAGAAATATTCTTTGATAAACTTGTTGCCTTTGAATTGTATTCATATTCATTAAAATGTGTTGGTTGAAAACACATAATGTTAAAAACTAATGTGAATGTTGTCTATTTAAATTTGTTATATTTTTAACTGTTTTTTCAAAATATTCATATTTACCTCTTTTGTTTATTGTTTTATCTTGCTTCCAGCAATCATATATTAAATATGAAAGGTCGTTCATGGCCTCTTACTGGAGGCAATAGCAAGCAAAAGGTTGCATTTTCTCCATCAACTAATCAATCAACAACTCATGTTGCCCTTAATCCTGATTGTTCTGAGATTTCCAAGCCATCCATATCAAGTGAACCTATCAATGAATTTGTTCAGTTAAAACAAGAAATCGAGGAATTCTTTCGGCGGTTTAAGAGGGAGGAGATCTATTATAACAAGGCATCAACTGGAACTCTGCCGGCTCTACTCACCGAATACCCAAAGCTAGAGCTACTTATTGAATATGAAAAAAAGATCTCAGAAGATATTGCTAAAAAAAAAGAAGAATTTATAAAGAGATATGATGGTTCTGAATTTGAGTTGCGTTATGATGAAAGTAGTGCTTCATCTTAGTTTTATCTTAGATTTTTGTATTATGTAGTTCTTTATATATAGATATATATTTCATGTTGTTCAGTGTGTTTGTTATAAAGATCCAAACATAATTTTCAAATATTTTAAGTAGTTATAGTTGTTGGCTTTTATATTTATGCACATGTAAAAAGTTGTACTACTTTTTTGTATGCATTCTTTATTTTTCTTCTATTTGTATTTATGTTTTTTTCTTCTTCTAATATTCTCCTACTTCAATTGCATTTAAACTTTCTCAAGTACAGTGTTACCTTTTATTAAGGTTCTCATACCCTGTGCTAAGTTTAGTGCATATAGATTTTCCTTCTAGATTTAATGTGCTTAATTTGTTTTTTCTTAGATTAACATATTATTAAAATTCCTATTGATTTGCATGTGATATTGTCTCATTTTGGCTATGCTATGTTTTTTTCCGAGGGTTTGAGCAGTGAGTTATTGCTATACCATCGTTAATTTGCACCAAATATATAATATTTATAAAATGAGAGTATACATTAAATTATGAGAGTATACATTAAATTAAACCTTGCTATTTAACTGTTTTAGTTTTAAAAATATAAAATATCCAACAGCAAATAAATAAGATAAATTTTAATCAAATATATACCCCCAAAAAAACAATTAATTAAATTTATGCATTAAATTAATTGTTAATACTTATATTAACAAAATGCACAACCAAATTATTATTTTTAATTGTTGTTTATATATACATTACAATTTGTATAAACCACAATATTTATCTTTATATATTAAATAAAAATATAGTATTTATCATGTTGCATTGTCCATTTCGTGTTCAATCAATAAATGGACATTAATTATTAATTTTTTTACTGTGTCAAATCCTTTCCATGGTAGCCAAAGGTGAAATCCAGCAATCTTACTGCTGGGTTTTCCATTAAATGTGTCAAATCAATTTATGAATCGATCATCTCCACTTAAAATGTTTGACTCTCTCAAATTATTATTTGATTTTTTTTACCATTATATTTTTAGACAAATTTCATACTTATCCAGACCTTTCATTATTTTACCCCTTTATTTATTTTCATAGAAGGACACTCTTCATAATTTTGTGATACAAGTGAAATATACTCCTCTTATTAATAATTTTTGCATTAAAATAAATGTCAAATCAATTCACAAATTAATCATCTTCACTTATGGAATTCTATTTCCACACCATACAAATTCTAAATAAACATCATAAATGGTATTTAAATATAAATTTTTGAATAAAAATCAAATATTTAAATATAAAAAAATTGATGCCAAAAAAAAGTTGTTGACATGTAAACAATTAAATAAAATGCATATTTGAATAATTTATTATTGTTTTGTGATACAAGTGAAATATACTCCTCTTATTAGTAATTTTTGCATTAAAATAAATGTCAAATCAATTCACAAATTAATCATCTTCACTTACGGAATTTTATTTCCACACCATACAGATTCTAAATAAACATCATAAATGGTATTTAAATATAAATTTCTGAATAAAATTAGATGTTCAGATTTTAAGTTATAAACAATAATAAATTATTCAAATATACATTTTATTTAATTGTTTACATGTCAACAACTTTTTTTTGGCATCAATTTTTTTATATTTAAATATTTGATTTTTCTTTATAAATTTATATTTAAATCACATTTATAGTATATACTAAAAGTTTGAGTGATGTCAAAATAAAATTAATCTCTAATTGCCTCACTTTTTTATCATTATACTTTCACAAAAAAATATTTTTTTTTTATGTTGATTTTTGCATTAAATATATGTCCAATCAATTTCTGGATTAAAGATCTTTATCTCTAGGGTTGATAGCAATAATTGTTATTTTACATTTTTACCCTTTTACTTTTAAAGAAATCCCTTAGCTAAATAAAACTAAAAATAAAAAATTCACCAATTTACATCTATGCCATACATCTGTCATGATCACTACCATACACAGTCCTATTTGTCTTATTATATTCATATTTAACAAGGAAATACAATCAGAACTTGTTCACAGTTGCTCGAATCACTTCTGCTACAAATGGAGTTTGTCCTTACTACTTACAAAGCAAATTCGAAGCAGCTCTTCTTTTGTAGTATTTAGCATTGAATTGTAAGTTCTCATTTATATTTATTACTCTTTAATTTTTAACTGTTTACAGCATCTTCAATTCTTCACCAAACCCCAAAATTTGATGATTTTTTTTGTGAAAATGAGGTCAAATCCTTTAATCAAACTTGTATAAATTCAACAGAGAAATAAAATTTTCACCAAATCAAGGAAACTATACCAGCATATACTTTTTTATTCAATGATTTATTCATTTATTCTAGCATTTAATCCTAATTTTCAAAGTAAAACTATTTTTTTAAAATTACTTCATATAAAATAAAAACACATATTAAACTTCTGTAAATTTCTCTTACAAATCCTTAAAATAAAATGTTACTTTTTTTTTTCCATAACTGTTGTTTGCTAAAATATGATTTTTGCTTTTCTTTAAAATTGAAAATTTCATTTTTACAGTATTATTAATAATTATAAAGGACAATTAAAAAAAAATATCCACTATTTGAGCATTAGTATAGAAATAAATTTCTTTAATTTAAATATCAATCTTTTGATTTCTGTCCAATCCAAACCATTTCGCTATTTTCAATTTCTAAACTACCTTTCTTTTTCTATCT